AATGTATTAACCTTAGGTGTTATATATTATCCACTGGAACTTGTTTTACATTCTCAGTTGCTAATTCATCCAAAGTATATCTAGTTTATAAATTCAGCATCAACTTGGTATTTTTTGCCAAGTTTTCTGGGGGGTCTTATTCTATTATATGCCATTGATAACTTTGTACTGAGTGCTCTCCAGAAGGAAGCCTCTTTTAGTAAATGGAGGCATATTTAATACCCAGATTTCTTTGAAGAAAAGTAGTGAGAAGTGCAGTAATTTAACTTTCAAAGCAAACCATCCACATACTAGGAGGCACACCTCACGCATTGGATAAACTGAGATTATGCCAGAAGGAGGACTAAGTTCACAAGAAGCAAAGTAGATTAGTTATAAATTACACAAAAATATATCAGCATACACAATTGATATTGTTGACAAACAAATAAAAAATTATTTAAAGATACAAACAATGATGACGTATGACAAAGGTAATTTAAAGCTCACAGCTGTTACTTATCTCTTTGTATTTTGCTTTGAGATAGGGAGAAAGGAAGGCAAGGAGGGAGGAAGAAAGGGAGGGAAGGAGAAAGGAAGGAAGGAAGGAAGGAAGGAAGGAAGGAAGGAAGGAAGGAAGGAAGGAAGGAAGGAAGGAAGGAAGGAAGGAGGGAGGGAGGGAGGGAGGGAGGGAGGGAGGAAGGAAGGAAGGAAGGAAGGAAGGAAGGAAGGAAGGAAGGAAGGAAGGAAGGAAGGAAGGAAGGAAGGAAGTTTAAGAGTACTAATTGAAAAAGCCTGCCTTTGAGATGTGTCCTAAGCCAAGGAATCACTTCTAGATGTGGGCAGCAAGAGTGCAAGTCTAGGTAAAGTCATTCAGACTGGACATTATATCAGACAGTAGCAATCCCGCAGTTTTCATACTGGGTCAAAGGGATGAAGATGAAGAGGCCAGTGAAAACACAAGACAAAGGTCAATATATCAGCTAGAGCTCCTTTTCCTCTTCTCAATCTCCACTCAGAGAGGACAGAAGATGAAGGTATGTGCTTGCATTTATTGTAGTGAAGGGTCTAGTTATTGCCCTAAGCAATACAACCTTCTCCTAACTAAGGTAAGGGCAGAGGTGCTGGGATGTAGGGAATTAATGCAGAGATGAGAAAAATATTAGCATTCAATTGTGCAATTACTTAATTTTTTTTGATGTGCACGGTTGAGGCTATCAAAAAGAAGGAGTTGGACAATGCATCTATAAGAAAAGATAAATGAGATTTTTGAAACAGGATACACATGTTCTAAATAGAAGCTTCATGAACAATATAAATGAAAATTTCCGTAAGTATTAAAAATAGATGTTTAGGTAAAGAATCATATATATGTTGCCCTGACTCTTGTGGCTCAATTGGTTGGGTATTGTCCTGAAAAGCAAAAAGTCGCTGGTTTGATGACTGGGTTGGGGTTTCGGTCCCCTGTAAGGTCACAGATGAGAGGCAACCAATCGCTGTTTCTCTTTCACATTAGTGTTCCTCTCCTTCTTTTTCCCTCCTTTTCTCTCTCTCTAAAATAAAATCATATATATCTTAAGATAACTTGTATATAATTGAAAAATGAGGTAATTTATACTAATTTAGATATGAATAAAATAAGACTGCAATAGAAATTTAAAATTATTCCAATATTCCCTTAAAATCTTAAAATTGCCAAAAAAGTTGATCTCTAAGGATTGTAGGGGTTTGACAACAGTGTCCTTTCTCATAAGTGATTTTAGACAACTGTGAATTAAAGTGGAGATGATTTCCGTTAGCCAACAGTGTTGTAGTGAATCACAGTCCCACAGAAAGATAAGAAATCCTTGAGTTGTGTTTAAAACAAGGTATTTTGCATAAGGCCAAGAGTCCAAGAAATTTTTATTTAGATTCTTTTATAATATTTGAGTGAGGCAAGCAAGGAAATGAGGATCTGTTAAATGTATCTCCATCTAACTGTATTTTGTATTCCTTTCTCATGTAATATTTCTGCACTAAATCTAGACCTCCAGTTCCAGGAGATTGCCTGTCTCCATGCTACTGAGAATTTATAATGTAATAACTACAATGAAACACAGGTTTTCCATGCACCATAGATAACTTTATGCCTTCAAGATATTATCTTTTAAAATCCTCTTTCAGTGAGGCGGCAAGTTTATCAATATGGAAACGGCTCGGGATTGGAAAGGCAGGAGTCATTTTTTGGGGGAATTAGAGGTAGATAGTGTAAATGGAACAAAGAGGGGCACTAATGAAAGAAAAGGATTAATTAGCCCAGCTGCCCATGGTGCAGTCAGGGTGTTCAGCAATCCAAGATGAATGTGTGAGAAGTATTGGATTATCCACTTGGCCAGCTGAGTGTGATTAGTGCCCCAGTAAAGCAGATATTATTTTTAAATGTATTTAAAACTTCAAAGTAAGTATAAAAAGGTCATCTAAGTAAAGTTCTGTGTTGGTCATCTAGCCTTATTTTAGGACTTATTACAATCTGTTCTTTTTTTAAATTTTTTTCAGTTAGAGTTGATGTACATTATTTTAGTTTCAGGTGTACTACCACATGATTAGATGCTTACTTACATAACTTATGAAGTGATCAACCTGATAAATCTAGTATAGTAACTACATAGTTACTAGATGGGTGCCACCCATCTGACTCCATATATAGTTATTATATTATTATTGACTACATTCCCTATGCTGTACTTTATATCTCTGTGACTATTCTGTATCTACCAATCCATACTTCTTAATCCCTTCCTTCACCTTTTTCACCAGTCCCCCAACTACTCTCCCATGTGGCAACCATCAAAATGTTTTCTAGATCAATGAGTCTGTTTCTGTTCTGCTTTTTCATCTATTTTCTTTTTTAGATTCCATATATAAATGAATGTATATGGCATTTTTCTTTCTCCATCTCACCGATATCACTTAGCATAATGTCCTCTTGGTCCATCCATGTTGTTGCAGATGGAAAGATTTAATTTCTTTTTGTGGCTGAATCATATTCGATTGTATATATGCACCACTTGTTTTTTCTACCCATTCATCTATTGATGGACACTCAGTTTGGTTCCATACCTTGGCTAATGTAGGCAATGCTGCAATAAATATATAGATGATATATATGTCTTTTAGATTTAGTGTCTGGGTTTCTTCAGATAAATACTGAGAAGTGAACTCGATGGGTCCTTCTTTGTCTCTTGGTACAGTCTTCGTTTCAAAATTTATTTTTTCTTGTATGTGTTTATTGCTACATCAGCTTTTTTGTTTTGTTTTGTTTCCATTTTCATGAAATATGTTTTCCATCAGTTTAGTGTCAGTCTATGGGTGTTTTCGATCTGAAATGAATCTCATACATAAACATCTTGTTTTGATAATCATTCAGCCACTGAGTATCTTTTGATTGGAACATTAGTCATTCACATTTAAACTAATGATTCATAAATATGTATTTATTTTCTTTTTACTTATAATTTTATCTTATTTTTCTTTTTCTTAAAGAAGACCCTTGAACATTTCTTGTAATACTGGTTAAGCAGCAATAAACTATAGCTTATTCTTATGTGGGGAGCTCTTTATGTTTCCTTTGATTCTAAATGATATAGTCTTGGTTGTAGGTTTTTGCTTTTCATCATTTTGAGTTATTTCATACCAATCTATTCTGGCCTGCAAAATTTCTGTTGAGAAATCAGCTAACAGTCTTATGGGAACTCCCTTGCAGGTAAAGAACTTCTTTTCTCTTGTTTCTCTGTTTTTAACCTTTGGTATTTTAATTATGATGTGTCTCAGTGTGGGTCTCTTTGGGTTCATCTTGTGTGGGACTCTCTCCATTTTCTGGCCTTGTATTCTGTTTTCCTCACCAGGTTTGGGAAGTTTTCTGTTATTATATTTTCAAATGGATTTTCAACATTTTAGTCTCTCTCTTCTTCTGGCACCCCCATGATGCTAACGTTGGTATGCTTAAAGCGATTCCAAAGGCTTTTTATACTATCCTCATTTTTTTGTATTCCTTTTTAATTTTCGCTTTTCTGATTGGGTGTTTTCTGCTTCCTTATAATCCAAATCACTGATCTGATTCTCTGCTTCATTGACTCTTCTGTTGATTTCCTCTAATATATTCTTCATTCCATTTAGTGTATCCTTCATTTTCATTGTTTTTTATGGTTTTCATGTCCTTTTCTAGAATTGACACTATTGCAAATGTCCTCAATTGCTTCCCCTTTCTTATTCCCCTTCTACACAGTGCCCCTGGACTTTACCACATTGCTGTCTGTGTCCATGGGCTATGCTTGTATGTATATATGTCCTTTGGCTAACCTCTTCCAGTCCACCACTCTCCTCTCCCTCTGAGATTTGTCAGTCTGTTCCATGCCTCTGGCCCTACCTTGTTTGTCAGTTTATTTTGTTCATTAGGTTCCACATATGAGTGAGATCATACTGTATTTGTTTTCTTTTCTGACTGGCTTATATTTCTTAGCTTAATAATCTCCAGGCCCATCCATGCTGTCACAAAAAATTAGAGTTCCTTCTTTTTTAAAGCTGTGTAGTATTCCATTGTATAAGTGTACATCTTTTTAATCCATTCATCTACTAATGGGCACTTGGGCTGTTTCTAGCACTTGGCTATTATAGACAATGCTTCTATAAACATAGGGATACATATATTCTTTCTGATTGATGTTTTGGGATTCTTCAGATATATTTCCAGAAGTGAGATATCTGGGTCTAACAGCAGTTCCTTTTTTAATTTTTTGAGGAAACTGCATACTGTTTTTCACATTGGATGCATCAGTCTGCATTCCCACCACTAGTGCATGAAGGTTCCCTTTTCTCCACATCCTCACCAGCACTTGTTTATAGATTTATTGGTGGTAGTCATTTTGACAGGTGTGAAGTGTTACCTCATTGTAGCTTTAATTTGCATCTCTCTGATCATTAGTGACATTGAACATTTTTTCTATATGTATAGGGCCATCTGTATGTCCTTTTTGAAGATGTGTAAAAATATGTAATACTTCACAAATTTGTATGTCATTCTTTGGCAGGGGCCATACTAATCTCTGTATTCTTCCAGTTTTACTCTATGTACTACCAAACTGATCACTTCATTTTCTTCTTCATGTTGTTGAAGTTCTCACTAAGTTCCTTGAGCATCCTTATAACCATTGTTTTGAACCCTATATTGGGTAGTTTGCTTGCTTTCATTTCATTTATTTCTTCTTCTGGAGATTTCTACTAGCCTTTCATTTGGGACCTGTCTCCTAATTTTGGCTACTTCCCTGTTTCTTTTTCTATGTAATAGGTAGCACTGCTATGTTTCCCAGACTTGGTAGTATGGCCGTATGTAGTAAGTGTCTTGTAGGGCCCTGTGGTGCAGCCTCCCTGAACAGCCAAGCTGGGCACTCCAGGTGTACCCTCTGTATGGGCTGTGTGTACTGTCTTATTGTAGTTGAGACTTGATTGCTGTTGGCATCCCTGGAAGGGATTGACACTCCAGGCTGATTAGCTGCAAGGACCAGCTGAGACTACAGTGGAGGAACCACTGTGCAGTGGCCAACCACACAGAGTAGAACTCCCTTTAGTGGGACTTTGGTGCCTACCAAGTCCACCCCTTGGGTTTGTCACTCATGGAGGTGTCTGGACTGTAAACTGGTGTGATCTGAAGCTTTTCACTGGGTGCACTGGCTCTGAGGCCTCCCAACAGAAGGCCACAGGACACAATGTACCACCTGTGTCCTGACCAAGGCCATTTGGCATGAGCTACAGAGTGATATGCAGATGGCTACTACTTGTGCTGGGCTTGCAGGTGCCTGGGAGAAGCCAAGCTATGAATGTAGGCTTGCTTCCTCTAGTACTAGACCTGGGGCCAATTAGCATATGGTAGAAGACCAGATGGTGCTTGTCTGAGAGATTTTTAAAAAGTCCACAGCATGAGACAAGACAGGTCATTTGTATGGAAAAGCTACTGGGAAGGGCTTGGGAAGGTCTACAAGTTAGGTGGGGCAGGGCTCAGGAAATCACCAGGTCAGGGCCAACAATGATAGCTACGTTGATGGATACTCAGATATGGCATTGCCTGCCTTCTCTTTGAGGGGAGAGCTCAGCAAGGGAATAATGACTTTTGCCAGCTCTTATGTCTTATAGAAAGCTGCCTCGCCAATTCTTACTCTGACTGCAAACAATTCAGTTCCCCTCTATGTCCCTGCTGGCTTTCAAGGTGTTGCCCTAATGCTAGAGCTCAGAATGAGTGAGTCTGAGTAACTCCATGTGTGGGCCCCTTAATAGAAATGGCTGGGGTTCCAAAAGTTTGTCTCATTCAGCAGCAATCCCTGCTTGTTTTTATAGCCAGAAGTTGTAGGGACTTATCCTCCCATCACTGGGCTGAGGGTTCTGATGTGAAGCTAAGTTTCCCTTGCTCTTTAAGGGAAATTCAAAGCAATGTGGGACCAGGGCATATGTGTCTCTGGTCCTTCTACCTGTATCAATGTAGCTTCCATATATCCTTAGTTTTAGGACTCTTAACTCAGCTAGGTTTCAGGCATTCCATATTATGGTCGTTTTATGGTTTGTTATAATTTTGATGTGGTTGTAAGAGGTTCCGAATACTGTATTTACCTAAAAATTTATTACTATTTTGTATAGAAATGTTTGTGTGGGGAGTCATTTATTAAGTAACTTTTCAACTCTTAGGGCCTGTAATAGAGTCTTTGTGTGTGTGTGGAAAGCAATCAGGGCTTGATATTTTGGGAGAAGCTCTGCACTACTACAGAATAGGTAAATACTTCTTCTCCAGCTCTCAGTGGAGTAACTCCATTCTCTGGGGCTGCCCTTGCTCCAGCTGGAGCCCTACTTGTGTGAAAACAATGGGAAGTAGTTAGAAGACAGCTGTCCTAGAAAAATGCAAACAAGTTTGGTTCTAACTTGAAGTTGTCTAAATTTTTGTTTATTCATTTGTTAAAAGAACAGATTGGGCCAGTTCACTTCCCGAATCTAATCATTGTCATGAATCTGTGACCTTGGGTAACAACCAACATTTTGGTCATGTTTCCTCAACTGTTAAATTAAATTGTGGGACTATAGTTTACCTCATCCATCTCTCCCTTTCCCCCTCCCTTCTTTTTTCCTTCTAAGTTAATGAGATAGTATGTTTGAAAGCACTTTACAAATTCAAAATGTGGTATGTAACTGCAATACATATTACAATTTCTAAGACAGTGTAGGTCAACAGTTACTGAATGCATTTTATATACCAAGCATAGTGCTAATGATTTATAATACATTATCTCCTACCGACTTAGCAAATTTACAAGGTTGTTATCACATATTTCCTGCAGGTAAGAAATCTAGGATTCGTGAGAGTAAAGGGGTATTTTAAGGTCAATCATAAATAACAGAATTTAGGATTCAAACCCATGTGCCTGATACCATGCTGCCAAGTTTATTTCTTGTGGCTTCGAGCAAAGTGAACCAAAAGAATCAAAGCAGCAGGGGTTTTCCTATTGTGCTCAGGCTGAACATAATGGCTGCTCCTCTGTTCCCTTTGAAAAAAGACAAAGAAGGTCCATATAGCTACTTCTATGGGATAGAGCTGACAAATAATTTTAAGACCAATGTTGTTTTTTTCTCATGATATTTTCATCATTGAAATATCTCATCACTGCCATCCTGAAGTTCTAATAATTGTTCTAAAGTAGTTGTTGAGGAGGAATTGCCTATATGGGATATGTTAGGACATGTATAATTTTATTTTTTGGGGTGGGGGGAAGTACATGTGACTTTGGAGACTAAATACTGTTGAAATTTATTCAATTTACTTCTCAAGGACATAGGAGCCTAAGTATTTTCATGAATCCATAAATTTAGAAGATAAACAATAACAGAAAATGTATACAAAAAGGAGATATGGATGAAATAAAATTTCCTTTTTGTTAATGTATTGGGCTGATATTAGTTAATAAAATAATATAGGTTTCAGTTTTACATAGGACATGCATAATTTTAAAAAACTCAGATTATTTAAACAGGTTTTCCTCCCAATGAGAACTTGCATGGTTTCCATGGTTAAACTCACTTAAATCCTTGGGGGAGAGGTTTCCTTGCAAAATTTTAGTAGTGTCATTCTAATTACTAAATAGTTATGGGTTTGGTTCTCAGAAGAAAGACTGGAGACTCAGCTTTCAGTTTCGATTAGTTACAGAAAACAGAGATCAGTTAATTTCATAAACATTTTCAAAAGAAAAAAGTAGCAATGAGGATACAATGTTAATAGCTAAGTATTTCTATATTATCGTCCTATCAAGGTGACCAGGGAAGGGCTATATCAATCTTGACAAATATCTGCTCTAATGGCTTAAGTTCCTCTGGGGTTTTTTTTTTTTGCCAGAGTGTAAACAGCTCTGGGATAGTTTTTTATCTGATACTAGCTCAGTCGGGCAAACCATCACAAGGAACGTCACGTCTACATGTCTGAATGCTCTGCTCATCTTCCACTGTCACTGGTCTCAGAGTATAGTGCCATGTCAAAGTTCATTTGCTCCAAAGCCTTTCAGCTTTGGATTTTTTGTCTCAATGGCTCCAGGGAAAGACACTTCCAGAATGTAAAGGCTGAGTATTCCGTAACTTTTAATAATTATATTTTGCTTTCCAGATTCTTCTTTCACATCCAGAGACAACTTTTCTTATTAGTGTTGAAACTTCTAATTGCTAGTTAATAATAGGGTAGAGAGTTTTTATTTTTAGTGTAAGTTTCTTGGGTTTCAGGTTATTTCTTGACAGTTCAAATTTTTTTGTATGAAAGCCAAACTGCTATGTTGAAAGCAACCAATTAGGTGTCCTTGGCTTAAATTTTTTAAATCTGTTTAAAGTGACTCAGTAAGCTTAAGAATATTTTATAACATTTTTATTAATAAAATTTATAAATTTAGTCTTCTCTAGTACACATTAAGCTCTCTACACAATATTTAAGTTTATATTAGCATCCATTTTTCTAATTTTCCTTTGTCACCTTCAGTTTTATTAATAACATTACTATGTTTATAGGAAATCTGACTATATTCCAAATCTCTTGAAGTTATTGGTTTCTGTTAAGAATTTAAATATTGAAAAGGGAAGAAGTCTCTAATGAAGACACAGAAGGATTTTATGGCAGATGAAAGATAGCACAGAACTAAACAATGCATTGTGTTTCTCCTGAAACCTGTCTACTTTATCAGCTTTCAGTTTTTCATTGCCCTTAAAAGACTGTACTCTCTGTGGATAACCTGCAGCTGCTCATTTCCCAAGCATTTTCCAAACTGGAGCTACTGAGTGGACACACGAGTGTATTGAGGGACTGCCGCAGTACAGATGGCATCATGTTGGGTTCATGACCTTGGTCCTTCTTCTTTGATAAATGTTTATTAGCTAGACTTTGAGATTTGACAATATATTGAAGGTTGAAGTAAATTAGTTAAAAGGGAATTTTGAAGAGCATAATAATTTCAAATTAATATTTTATCAGGATCAACTAAAATTATCTAAATGTGTACCAGGCCACTTTGTTGTTGTGCCCCCCACACCAAAGAAAAGCTACAAAGCATGTGGCTAATTAGTTGTCTTTCATATTTTGCCTCAATTTATTTTCAGCTCAGTGAAGTTAGAATGATGTCATACCAGTGACTTGTTTTATAAGGAAAAAGGCACTAGTTTAATCTTCAAAAAACAACAGCTTGCAGGGGTCAGTCTTTTAAAGTATATGCTTCCCTGGTTGCAATTATTAATCAGTTTCCTTCAGGAAATATATGAAATTAAATATTAAAGTAAAGATCTAAACAGTGCTACAGTCTCAGGGCTTCTGAGAGCATGATTTCCTCATTAGCTTGAAGTAATTGACCTTCCTTTATCCAAATGTGGAATCTTGCCTGAATATGAAATCCCTCATTCTGTCTTTATACCTCATCATTTGGGCTTTATTTACTATTATTTTTGTCTTATTTAGTAGAAGTGAATTTTCCACGATGGCATAGTTAATTGCTAAATAAAGGTCTTGTTTATTAAAAGAAAACTTTAACAGTATGCTCAGTTCAGTTTTGGCTCACTCAGCTACCAATATTTATCTGCCACCTG